TACTCTACTCTACTCTACTCTACTCTACTCTACTCTACTCTACTCTATTCTATTCTACTCCCATCTGTCAGAAATGATGCAGGGTCTCCTGCTTTGGCAGGGGGTTAGACTAGATGACCTACAAGGTCCCTTCCAACTCTGATTATCTGTTATCTGTTAAAGCTATTCTATTCTATTCTTTTCTATTTTTTCCTTTCCTTTCCTTTCCTTTCCTTTCCTTTCCTTTCCTTTCCTTTCCTTTCCTTTCCTTTCCTTTCCTATCCTATCCTATCCTATTCGACTCCCATCTGTCAGAAATGATGCAGGGTCTCCTGCTTGGGCAGGGGGTTGGACTAGATGACCTACAAGGTCCCTTCCAACTCTGATTATCTGTTATCTGTTAAAGCTATTCTATTCTATTCTATTCTATTCTATTCTATTCTATTCTATTCTATTCCCATCTGTCAGAAATGATGCAGGGTCTCCTGCTTTGGCAGGTGGTTAGACTAGATGACCTACAAGTTCCCTTCCAACTCTGATTATCTGTTATCTGTTAAAGTATTCCTATTCTGTTCTGTTCTATTCTGTTCTGTTCTGTTCTGTTCTGTTCTGTTCTGTTCTATTCTAGCATCCAATTCAAGCACCTATTCTTCATGTCCCCCTTTTGTCCCTCCCATTCTGAGTTCTGACTTTACCTAGTTCTCCCTCTTGGGAGCAGGAATACTGGAGCACAACTCAAGATTTCTTTGCATTTCACAGAACGGATGCTCAGAGGAAATTTGTAATGTCCGTGTGTGGTGGGTGGGTGGGGGGAGGGAAGCTGCCTTTCCTGATAGAGGTCAACACCTTACCAGACTCCGTTGTGACAGCTTCAACCCCTCACAGCTTCAACAGCCTCAAACCGTCCCTGTCTTACTGTCCCCATTTATCTGTATTTATTTCCTTTGTTCCTGTTTATGTTCATACTTACACTTGTTATCTTGTACGTGTTTGACAAACAAATAAATAGATATTTTTTTTAAAAAAAATCACCTCCTCTGTTCTTGCTCTCCCTGCAGGTGAAATGTTCCTGCCCCATTACACTGGGCTTTTGATCGACATCCTGGGCACTAAATATGACGCAGAAGCCTTTTCCACGATCATCTTTCTTCTCTGCCTCGTCTCATTTGGAAGGTGAGCTTATTCCAGGCCCCATTAACATATTTGCTGCAGTTGCCCTTAAATACCTAAAGAAGGCCTGGAGTTATGATTCTGTTATCGCCCGGCATTATGACCACAAGATGGTAGAAGGGAGTGATCATGTTGGATGAAGATGTTGGTTTTTTTTTCTTCTTGCCAGTTCTAAGGAAGCTATTGGTTGTTGTCTTCTTTGAGGATATGTTTTGACTTCGCAGTGTAATTTCTACTCTGGTATTTCCTTGTGGCCTCCCATCCAAATGCCAGCCAATTTGATGCTGCTTAGCTTTTTGAGACCAACCCAGCTCTGCCAGATCCCGACTGCAACTATGGTTTCGATGGTGGCTTCACACATGTTGTAGTCCCAGAGCCACCTACTTTGGGGGACCGACCCTCCCCACCCACCCATACGCTTGTCGTTTCTTTTTTTTTTTAAACAAATTTTATTAGTTTTTGAAGACAAACAAAACATAAACCTTGTACACATTAAACCTCTTTCCCTTGTAAATTTTTACAAGGCAGATAATACAATATTTTATACAGTGTGATTTTAATATATCCCATTTCTACTTAAATATCTTTTAACACTCTCATTTCTTCTCATTAAATTTAATCATCATATTCATATTTCCCTCTGTCTTGTTTGCAATTATTCTCCTCCCGCTTTCCTCCAAGGTTTTACTAAATCTCACATAGACATAGACACACAAAACACATAAAGTAAAACTTCTTTTTCAAAAAAGTAGCTTGGCCCCGGATTACCACTCTTTGTATGGACTTCAATTAAATTCATATTCATCTTATATGCCATTACCTATCTTAATTACCATTCTGTAATTTCTTTATAACTTCTCCCCGCTTTCCTCTCTTCTTAATTCTATTTTGTTTATTAACTTAATTTAAATCATTATATTTCTATCCTTTGTCCATTGTTTTCCAATTGTCTATATATTTTATTCCCCATAGTAAAATAAAAGAATTTCTCCTGAAATCACAAATCAAAGTATGATGCCTTTCCATCGCACCTCTAAATTAACATTTAAGGTAACTCCAAATTCCCTATCTGATTCTGCTTAGTACATACTACTTACAAAAAGAAAATAGTGAATCCATAACATAATTAAATATATCATTAAACATTAAATCTCATAATATTCCAATTATCTATTTCAAAAGCAAGTATTACAATAATATATTCATACTAACATCCACACAATAGTCAATTAAAATCTATATTTAAACTAAATATTTTAGACCTTCCTTTTAATATTTTATTAAATCTTAAATTCTACCATTATTAAACCTTTAATATTTTAGTCTTTACTCAAATCTTATAAAATTATAATTTTCTATTTCTAATACAAATACTACAATACTATCATATGTACCTTGCAGAATCCTTTTAAAACCAAATTATATTACCCTTTATCCCTAAAAAACCATTTCTTTTTCACATCTTGTTTGATACCCTCGTGGCCTTTTCCCCCCTTCTTCCTCCCTGTCTTATCCCATCTGGTCTTTTTACCCCCCTTAACTTCCCCTCTCTGTTGTATTTCTCTTTCCTTTTGCTTTCTAGCCTTATATTGATTTTGCATCTTACTTTTCTCTTTCTTAGATATTTTTTTAAGTCTTATATCCTTTTTTCCCCCTTTCTTTCTTCTTCCTTTCTTAAGCACCTCTATGGGTTCATTAAAGATGGCTTCTTCTTCTTCTTCTTCTTCTTCTTCTTCTTCTTCTTCTTCTTCTTCTTCTTCTTCTTCTTCTTCTTCTTCTTCTTCTTCTTCTTCTTCTTCTTCTTCTTCTTCTTCTTCTTCTTCTTCTTCTTCTTCTTCTTCTTCTTCTTCTTCTTCTTCTTCTTCTTCTTCTTCTTCTTCCATCAATTGTTGTATTTGCTGATAAGTAGCAAGCGCCATTTCTAAAAAGCAAAAAATTTCTCCCACATCGTCTTTCTTTATTTTGCCATATTCCTCTCTCAGTTCATCAGCAGATAAAGTCATTGTAAATCCTCTTCTTCTTCTTCATAAAACAGCCAAAGATATTTCCAAGCTTAAAGCAAATCCCAAAGTCCCAAAGTCACCAAACAATCCAAACAAAGCACAAAGTTCTTCCCTTCTTCCTGGGTTAAAATCAGTTGCAAAGGGAGAAAAAGAAAACCAGTCTGTATTTTAAGTTCTTATTACAGTAACTTCCAATCTCTAAAATCTTCCAGGCATCTCCTTCAACAAAATCTTAGTATAAATTTTCCTTTTGTCCTCTCCCTTCCCATTTATAACAAGAAGCTTTAGATTTTTACCTTTTATAGAATAGTAGTATTTTCAACATTCATTTGTTAATTCCATGTGGAAGGAGAGTCAACTTTCACTTGAAAACACTTTCACTCGCCGCTTGCCAATCTCTTCTGGAAACAAAGTATCTTTCAAACAAAAAACCAAATCTTAGATTTCAGGGTATTAAATATATCTTCTAATCCCAGTTCAGCCAAAAAAACTTTCGCTTCAAAAATTTCTCCTTCTTCCTCCAGCACGATCTTGTCCGGTTGCTGGCTTCTTTGTGGCGGCCATTGCTGACCGCCGCTGGACCGACTTGAGAAAAGGAGGTTGTGCCGGGTGGGGAAGGGGTCTGCGAACACCCCAACCCCTTGTCCGGATCCTCCCTGTCTTCGGTTGCCTCTACGGGGCAACCTTATCCTCCGGACCCGTCTGGGTCGGAGGAACCAAGAGCGGCTAGCGCGGCGGGGATCGCAGAGATCGCGAAACCCCGCCGCCTCCGAAGCCGACAAACCGGAAGTTTTTCACGCTTGTCGTTTCTTTTATCGCCTCAGCTGATCGTCGGAGGAACCGGTTTGCCTTATTGGTAGGATTTTTTTTTATCACCGGTTCAGGTGAACCGGTCCAAACCGGTAGCATACCACCACTGTTACGGACTTCAACTTCCAGAATTCTGGGAGTTGAAGTCCACAAGTGTTAAAGTTGCCAAGTTTGGAGACTTCTGCTCTATAGGCTAATTTATTGGACAATATTGTCTATTGAATTGGACTTAAGATCTCTCAGGCAACCAAAACAGAGTTGGTGTTACGGGTTCCCATTCCCCTTGAGCTGCCTTTATTAAAATCCGATAGAAGTCCAAGCAGTTAAAACTTGCATCCTATCTCTATCTTTCACTTAAATACAAATCTTTTTTTAAAAAGGCTTTCTGAAAGAACATCCATTGTTGATGGATTCTCATCCAATGTCCCCCAACCTTTTGGGCAACAGGGCCGATTCTGTGGAGCTTTTTTCGCAGACTGGAAAGGGCATCGTTTTGCATGCTGGCTGCATCCCATGGATGGGGTTTTTGCTTGTTTGGTGCAGCCCAGTTGCTGACATGCCTTGGCCCAATGCCAGGCCATGGACTAGGGGTTGGGAGATCCTGGATTAATCCATTAATTTTTAAAAAATAATAAATTTTATTAAATACATTATTTAAAAACATTGAACGTGGTGGACTTCTTTGACATATAATTTTTGTCATAACATCTTACGTTGTATACTGTAAACCTTATGTACATTTATACACATTAGGTCTTTATACATTTTAATTCCTTTCAGTTGCATTTCAATTAAGTCATATAGTCTCATTCCCTTCCTAGAGCCTTTGTGCCTTTTCCATTTGGTGAACTCCCTTTCGGTTCCCTCCAATGATAAAATTTATTCCATATTATATAGTATTCTGACTTATCTTTATCCTTCAGTTCCAATGTCAACCTATCTATTTCAGCGCATACTGGATTAATCCATTAATTAATGGCACCTTTGGGAGCAGGCAGTGGCCAGCAGAAACTAGACTTGAATGACTAGTCTGGTGAAGAGAAGGACCAGGGGAGAGATGATAGCAGTCTTACAATATTTGAGGGGCTGCCACAGAGAGGAAGGGGTCAAGCTATTTTCTGAAGGCCAGACCAAGGAATAATGAATGGAAACTGAATAAGGAGAGATTTAACCTGGAAATAAGGATAAACTTTACGACAGTGAGAACAGTCAACTCATGGAACAGCTTACCCTCGAAAGTTGTGGGAGCGCCATCACTGAAAGCTTTCAAGAAGAGATTGGACTGCCATTTGTCAGAAAAGGTGTAGGGCTGTGATAGCGAACCTATGGCACGTGTGCCACAAGTGGCATGCAGAGCCATTTGTGCCAGTATGTGAGCTATAGGTAAAGTTACCTCACTGCGCATGTGTGTGCCTCACAGCTGATTTTTGGCTGATTTGAGGGCTTTTTCAGCCTCCCAGAGGCTTCAGGAAGGCTTCTGCAGGCTTCTGTAGGCTTTTCAGGATGAAAACTAGGCCCGTTTCATCACTTCCTGTTTTTCTGGAAATCAGGCCGAAAATCAGCAGTGAGGCTCAGTGCAGGTAAGGGGGTGGCGGGGGGGGGGGGGGAGATTGCAAGTGCATGCATAGTGGGTCTTCTGGGTGCTGGCACGCAAATGCGCACACAATTTTTGGCACAGGAGCCCAAAAAGGTTAGCCACCACTGGTGTAGGATCCTTGGGTGGGGGGTTGGACTAGATGACCTACAAAGTCCCATCCAACTCTGTTAATCTGTAATCCAAGAAGTGTGCTTTATCTGTATCAGAGTTTTGGCTTGTGTGAGAGATCTTGTGTCTGCTTTTAAAAGAGTGGTGCTTTTTCAAAATGGGGGAAGAGGGTCAATCAGAAGTTACTTAATCTGAAACAGTGGAATAGATTTGTCTGTGTAAAAGTTTCTTTCCCTTTGCACCTGGTCAAATCCAGTACGTGTTCCTACACGGAGCTGTGACTCGATTTCCATTGGTAGAGCAGGAACCAACCCCCCTTCCTGTTTCCCTTCTAGCTCGGCCTTTGCCAGCTGCCGTGGCAGTCTCTTTTTGTTCACCATCTCTCGGATGGTCATCCGGATTCGCAACTTACTCTTCTCTTCTCTGGTGCGGCAAGACTTGGCTTTCTTTCAGGAGGTGAAAACAGGTGAGGGCCCAAACAGGAAGTCGCTGTTTCTGGAGACAGGATAGCAATCTTCCAATATTTGAGGGGCTGCCACAGAGAGGAAGGGGTCAAGCTATTTTCTAAAGCGCCTGTAGGCCAGACAAGGAATAACGGATGGAAACTGAACAAGGAGAGATTCAACCTGGAAATAAGGAGAAACTTTCTGACAGTGAGAACAATCAACCAATGGAACAGTTTTACCCTCGGAAGTTGTGGGAGCTTCATCACTTGAGACTTTCAAGAAGAGATTGGACTCCCATCTGACAGAAATGGTGGAGGTCCCTTCCAACTCTGATTATCTGTTACCTGGAATTGTGTAAAGGAAAAGCTTTCTCCTTCCTGGTGGGATTGTTCCCTAGAATCTCCCTTCCTGTGTGGCCAGTCTGGCATTTGTTGAACAATATATCTCTTTGCTCCCAGGGGCGCTGTCCTCCCGCCTTTCCAAAGACACAGTTATGATGAGCCACTCGGTGCCGCTCAACACCAACATCTTCCTACGCACCCTGATCAAGACCGTTGGGCTCTACGGATTCATGATCGGCCTGTCCTGGCGCCTGACGCTGCTGATGCTGATCGAGACCCCACTCATGATGGCCGTCCAGAAGGTCTATAATGTCCGTCATCAGGTAGGGATCATGAAGGCAGAGAGTGGCCTAGAGGGAATGGCGGCCCCTTCTAGTCTGTAGAGATTCTCAGTCATCCAGGTTCTTGATTGTCTCAAAGGTGCTTTTTTCAGGAGGCAACTGGACTTCCTTGTGTTTCATTTTGAAGACGTTTTGCTCCTTATCCAAGAAGGTTCTTCAGTTCTGACAGGGCAATGCAAGGATATAAATCTCTTGGAATATAAATCCTTCAATTCCAGAGGTGGTATTCAGCAAGTTCTGACCAGAAATTCTGAGTAGTTCAGAGAACTGGCAAATACCACCTCTGACTGGCCTCAACAACCCCATCTATTCTCTGTCTCCCGAGTCCCAGCTGATCGGCTGGGTCTTCTTTGGTTGCCCTGCATAGGAGAACGGAGCTGGAAAGCAGGTTAGTGGGGTGGGTTAATGGGGATTTTGCAGTATCCTTCCCCTGCCACGCCCACCAAGCCAGACCCACAGAACCGGTAGTAAAAAAATTTAACCCCACCACTGTTCCATTCCCAGCTATCCTGTCATATTCCAAGGAATTGATATCCTTCCATTCCCCATAGACAACCCAACTCTTTAATTAGAGTAAATGAAACCCCGCCTCCCCAGAAATAATAACGGGAGGGGACATCTCACTCTACGACTTGCACTCTGGCATCCTGTTGTCTACAAGTGAGAAATAAATGAAATAAAAAGGTGGGGGGAGGAAGTGGAGTGAAGCATTCTTGGGGTCTCTCTCCCTTCCCAATGAGGTCACAGAACTTTGGTTTGAATATCCCACCGCCAGCAAGATGCCTGGTCCAAGGCAGCTTTCAGGAGGCTCACTTTGCCACTTCCTTCGTGGTCAATCCAGGCTTTACTGAAGGCGATCCATGATTCGATGGCCCACTCAGACGACGTGGTGCACGAGGTAATCTCCTCCGTGCAGACCGTGCGCAGTTTTGCCACCGAGGAGGAGGAGTCACAGCGCTACGAGGCATCCTTGGAGGACACCTGTCGGCTGAAAAACCAAAGGGACTTGGAAAGGGTTGTTTACGGATTTGCTGTCCGGGTAAGTCCTCTAGGATTCGGGTCTCCAATCTTAACAACTTTAAGGCTTGTAAACTGCAACTCCCAGAATTTCTAAGCCAGCCATGTTGGCTGAGGAATTCTGGGTGTTGTAGTCCACAAAATTGCCAAGGTTAGCGACCCCTGACCTAGGTTCTTTTAAGTGAGTGATTTCTAGCCTGTGATGATTTCTGTTCAGGTATCAAAATTAAAAAGAAAAACAATTTTGAAATACGACTCCGATTTTAGGAGATTGCCAAGTCTTGCAAACTTTTCTTGCTTTGCTTCCAAGGTTGTACGTAAACGTTTGGTGTCTTTGTCCCCAATCTCACAAGATTTTATGTAGTCTGTATCATAGCAATTGTTAGCATTAACCTCTCATCAAGAATGTGTTTCTGTTGAAATGTCTTCACTGCCAAAAGTCAATCCGCAAGTGGATCTCCAATTCAGTGAAATCCCAGTTTTAAATCCCAGTTTAAAAAGGGATAGAATCTAGATATCATGAAGTGTTAACGTGTTTCCCCGAAAATACAACCTACCCTGAAATAAGTCCTAGCTTGATTTTTACATGTGTGCCCAAAATAAGCCCTACCCCCCAAAATAAGCCCTAATTAAGACCCCACCCACTCCAGGGTGCACAGGTAAAAATTAAGCTAGGGTGGGGATGGAGTGGGGTTGGAGCTGCCCTACTACTTACCAGTTGCAGCCAGGCCTCTCATACCCTGACATTTGCCTTGCCAGCCCATTTCTTCTGCAGCCAGCAAGACTTTCCTGAAAGCCTTGCAGCTGAGAACAGAGCTCTGGATCAATCCAGAGCTCTGTTATCGGCTGCAGAGGCCTTCAGGAAAGACTTGCCGACTGCACAAAAGGAGGCTGAGAGTGATGCACGCAAGTGAGATGAGTCGATGGACGACATCCCCCCCCTGAAAATAAGACCTGATGCCTTTTTTTGGTGGGAAAAAAAAAAATGTAAGGCGGGGTCTTATTTTCATGGAAACCAGTTTATAAGGCCTTAGTAAGATCACACTTGGGATAGTGCATCCAGTGTTGGTTACCACAGTGCAAAAAATAATAATGGTGAGACTCTAGAAAGAGTGCAAAGAAGAGCAACAAAGATGATTAGGGGGCTGGAGAGTAAAACATATGAAGAGCAGTCGCAGGAATTGCCTATGTCTAGTTTAATGAAAATAAGGACTAAGAGAGAGATGATAGCAGTCTTCCAATATTTGAGGGACTTGTACAAGGTCGAGAGGGTTATCCTATTTTCCAAAGCACCAGAAAGTAAGACAAGAAGCAATGGATGGAAACTAACCAAGGAGAGAAGCAGCCTAGAATCAAGGAGAAATTTCCTATTTTACTACTGTTGAGCAAGGTACCACCTATACGGTACCGGTGTATTTAATTTTTCTTGCCTAAATGTAGAACCTTCCTTTCTTCACCATTGAATTTCATTTTGTTAGATAGCGCCCAATGTTCAAGTCTGTCAAGATCCTTCTGTATCTGCAAATTTGTTGAGTTTCCCCATCTATCCCCTTGTCCAAATCATTGATGAAGATGTTAAAGAGCAGGGGTCCCCAACCACTGGTCCCCGGACCAGTACCGGTCTGTGGATCATTTTTTACTGGGCCGCAAAGCTTGGGTGCCGCCATCTTGTTTCGACAGCGCTTCCGGGTTTTCGGTTGCTTTCGGGTTTTCGGTTGGAAAGTGCTTCCGGGTTTTCAGTTGGAAAGCGGCGTTTGGGTGCTCGCGCCTTAGTTTCGTCAAAGGGGGGGGCGGCTTCGAACGAAGAGCCGTCCCGATGGCGGTGGAGTCTCGCGTTACTCAGGTACTGGTCCGTGGAAGAATAAATAATCGTGAAACCGGTCCCTGTTTCAAAAAAGGTTGGGGGCCACTGTTAAAGAGTACTGGACCTAAAACAGAACCTTGGGGTACCCGGCTTCCATAGAATGTCACAGGAAATAACCACGGCTTGCACAGTCTTTGTAGGCATTATTTATGTATTTATTTAATTTATATTGCTGCTTATTTGCCCATGGCGACTAAATAGAATAGTAATAGAATAGAATAGAATAGAATAGAGTAGAATAGAGTAGAATAGAGTAGAATAGAATAGAATAGAAGTAGAATAGAATAGAATAGAATAGAATAGAATAGAATAGAATAGAATAGAATAGAATAGAATAGAATAGAACAGAATACTTTATTGGCCAAGTGTGATTGGACACACAAGGAATTTGTCTTGGTGTAAATATTCTCAGTGTACATAAAAGAAAAGATACATTCATCAAGAGTCGAGAATCATAAGGTACGACGTTTAATGATAGTCATAGGGTACAATAAGCAATCAATCATACTAGGAAACAGTCAATATAAATCATAAGGATACCAGCGACAAAGTTACAGTGATACAGTCACAAGTGGGAGGGGATGGGTGATAAGGAGCGATGACAAGATTAAAGACTAAAAGACTAAAGGCAGATTACACAATGAAACCATATTTAAAACAAAAAATAAAAATAAAAAAACAATCAAAACTAACAAAAAGAATCAAATAAATTAATAAAGTACAATAGAACAAAATCTGGAAGAAAAAAAATCATCCCCAAACTTCCATCCCTTGCCCGGACGACAGCAGAGCACACTAGCCATTTAATGGGCTCCATCCCTCTCTGGGTTCCTCAGGCCCTCTGGAAAAACTCAGTCTTCAGTGCCTTTTGAAAGAGTATTAGAGAGGGGGGCATTCTAATCTCTGAGGAGAATGATGTTCCAGAGAGAGGGAGCCACCACGGAGAAGACCCTTCTTCTGGGTCCCGCCAGGTGTATCTCCCTCAGTGATGGGACCTGCAACATTCCCTGCCTCCCCACTCTAATGGGTCGGGTAGATGTGACCGGCAAGAGACGTTCCCTTGGATAACCCGGTCCCAAGCCATGAAGGGCTTTAAAGGTGACAACCAATACCTTGAATTACACCCGGAAGCAAATCGGCAACCAATGCAGCTCCTGCAGGAGAGGTGACACATGTGCACACCGGGGTCTGCACAAAACCATGCGGGCCGCTGTATTTTGCACCAACTGGAGCTTCCGGATGTTCTTCAATAAGCACATCATGGCATTTGAATATCTTTTCCATTCATGGCTGCCCTACCATTTCTCCTATTCCAGGTCCTCCAGTTGAGCCTGAAGCTGATCCTGCTCTTCTGTGGCTACCAGCAGATCCACAACGGTCTCATGACCAAAGGAAACCTGGTCTCCTTCATCCTCTACCAGGCAAATGTGGGGTGGTACGTGCAGGTCAGTGAGCCCTTCGATTTGAAAATGTTTTCTTCTGTAGCACTTCGGGTTCTTCGGTGGCTGTTATGGAATCAAACGCAGGACACAATAGCCAAAAGTAATCATGGCTTAGTGCAGTATTTATTTAATTATTTAACAGTGGGCACTGGATTATAATATTTACATACAAGCCATGCCCAGCCAGTTGCATGACCACCAAGCCACACCCACAAATTAGGCCACGCCCACAGAACTGGTTAGTAGTCCCTGGGATTTAAAATAATGAGTTTGGTGATCCCTGAGGTCCAAAAGGTTGGTGACCCCTGATCTAGTGCAACTTCCTGCTCAAGCAGGGAGACCCTATACCATTTCAGACAAATGGCTGTTCAGTCTCTTCTTAAAAACATCCAGTGATGACCCTAACCCACAACTTCTGATTCTACTGCTTTATTGTCCTCCCTGTTAGGAAGTTTCTCCTTAATTCTAAGTTGCTTCTCTCCTTGATTAGTTTCCATCCATTGTTTCTTGTCCTGCCTTCTGGTGCTTTAGAAAAATAAGTTGACCCCCTCTTCTTTGTGGCAGCTTCTCAAATACTGGAATATTGCTATCCTTGATGTCAGTGGTGGGATTCAAATATTTTTACTCCTGGTTCGGTGGGTGCGGCTTGGTTGGGCGCGCTTTGTGCACGTGCACACACTTTGTGCGTGCGTGCCAAACACACACTTCGCGCAGGCACAGAGGCGTTCTAACTCACCTCCTGCAAGCCTGCACAATCCCGATCACTTCAGCAGCTGCCGCACGGCACTCTTCTGTGCCGCGCAAACCAGCTGCGCTTCAAATTCAAAGGATAAAGATGAGTATATGCCCGGGCAGGCAGTTGGGCAGAGCGGTGGAGAGAACCGATTCAGTCTCCGCTGCTCATCACTGCGACCAGCTTGGCCGAACCGGACCGAACTGGTAGAATACCATCACTGCTTGATGCTCAAAACAGTGTAGCCACCTGTATTCCTCCCTTTGCAGATGCTCTCATGTCTTAACGTTGCTCCTCCTTCCTTTTTCCTCCCACAGGGCCTGATTTACGCTTACGGGGATGCCCTGAGCAATGTGGGCGCTGCAGAGAAAGTCTTTGAATACCTTGACCGGGAGCCGTCAGTCCGCACAGAAGGGACGCTGTCTAAAGAATCCCTCCGCGGACACGTCTCCTTCCAAAATGTTTCCTTCTGCTATCCCTCCCGCCCTGAGATCCAGGTCCTGAAGGTACTTTACGGGAAGTTGGAAGGCTTTGCATGACACCCTAACAGTAGCAACAGCACTAACACTTAGACTTACATACAGCTTTAGTGTTTTACAGCCTTCACCAAGCGGTTTACAGAGTCAGCCTATTGCCCCCAACAATCTGGCTCCTCATTTTACCCATCTCGGAAGGTTAGAAGGTTGAGTCATCCTTGAGATGGTCAGTTTTGGTCACCACACTAGAAAAACAATGTTGAGGCTCTAGAAAAAGTGCAGAGAAGAGCGACCAGGATGATTTGGGGACTGGAGACTAAAACATGAAGAACAGTTGCAGAAACTGGGCCTAGCTAGTCTAGTGAAGACCAGGGGAGACATGATAGCAGTCTTCCAATATTTGAGGGGTTGCCACAGAGAGGAAGGGGTCAAGCTATTTTGTAAAGCACCCGAAGGCCAGACAAGGAATAATGGATGGAAACTGAACAAGGAGAGATTCGACCTAGAAATAAGGAGAAACTTTCTGACAGTGAGAACAATCAACCAATGGAACAGAAGTTGCCTTCAGAAGTTGTGGGAGTGCCATCATTTGAGACTTTCAAGAAGTTATTGGACTGCCATTTGTCAGAAATGGTGTAGGGTCTCCTTCTTGGGGGAGGGGTTGGACTAGATGATCTACAAGGTTCCTTCCAACTCTGATTATATGTATGTATGTAGGATCAAACTCCTGGCTGTGGGCAGAGTTTGCCTGCAATACTGCATTCTAACCACTGCGCCACCACGCCACCAGTACATCTCTCAACTACAGGTGCTAAAGCTTTAAGTATCCTGGTTAAGTTGGTTGTGTGTTCTACAAACGTAATTCCTTTAACGCCGATAAAGAACATTGCAAGGAAGAATGTTAAGACTTTAAAGGTCTTTAGAAAGACGATGCAATTTTCTGTACAGATACCCCTCAACTTACAGCAGTTTATTTAGTGACTGTTCAAAGTTACAACAGCAGAGAAAAAAGTGACTTATGACCGTTTTTCACGCTTACGACTGTTGCAGCATCCCTGTGATCAGAATTCGGACACTTGCTTTACTAATTCACATTTAGGATGGTTGCAGTATCTCGGGGTCATGTGATCACCTTTTGCAACCTCCTGACAAGCAAAAATCAGTGGGGAAGCCAGATGTCAACTCATAAAAAATTCCTATGCCTGTTTTAGTAGTTGCCATTAAAAAAGGGGGGGGAAGGAAATCTGAAAGAGCAGTGCAGCAGTTTGGAAGCAAAAGTACATTCCAACTCTTACCTTTAAAAGATTGTAACTAAACTACCAGAGCTTTTGCCCGCAAATATATTTAATTGGAGAATGTGAATGATGACACCCAGTCCGTGAAGATGCTCAGTTGGACAATCTGGTTTATGAGACACTCGAGGAGGGGGGAAACAGGGTCACAGGGGACTGTAAATGACATGGGCCACAATTGACTTGCTGTCAGGATTCCAGCAATTGCTCTAATTAAATCATGATTCTTGAGCCAAACTTCAAAAAACTTCAAAGGATTCATTAGAGGCGACATATAGTATGTCACCTCTACCGAATCCTTTGAAGTTTTTTGAAGTTTGGCTCGAGAATCATGATTTAATTAGAGCGATTGCTGGAATACTGACACCAGATTCACTTAACAACTGTATTACTGTGATGACCCGGGGCGTGGCACAAAAGTAACAAAGGCACAAAAATAGGTGCCAGCTTGGCCTCCAATGTCCAGTTATCCTTGGCTGGAGATCAAACTCTTCCAAAAACAGTCTATAAATGGAAGAAATGCAGTCCGAACCCAAAGTACAGATAAATTATAAATAAGAAAACCAACACAAACCATGCTGAAGTAATTAACACGACAGGCCAGGATAATAAATTGCAGACTTCCAAAGGATAACCTCGACAAAGATAATGCACACTTTGCTTCCAGCAAGGTGCTGTGTGCAAATGCCCTTTTTATATCCTGTTCTCCCAGCTGCAACTAATGAAAGGTATCAGGGCCTTTTCCTCTCACATAAGCCATGTTGCTCCCTTCTCCGTTCCTCCCTGCATGCCCTAAGATGAAGAGGGGGTGGCCCTGGGTCTTCCTCTGAATGCCCAGCCGGACTGTGCCCTTCCCTCATTTCTTCCACAGCCACCGGAACCACACTCCCACTCTCTGTCAGCTGCTCGACCTTCCTCTTGGAATTAGACTCTAACAGGGGCATGACAATTACTAACAGTGATTCAGTTAACAATTGTAGCAAGAAAAATACTAAAATAGGGCAAAATTCACTTAAACTAGTTTAAATTAAAATGTGGGGCTCAATTGTGGTTGTAATCCTGAGACTACCTGTACTATACAAGACCAAGACTGGGATCTAAATATAACATTAATTAATGCTGCATATTCCTGCTTCATTTCACAGTACATTTGCATTTCTTTCTAATAGAATGTCTCCTTTGAGCTCCCCCCTGGGAAAGTGACGGCATTGGTGGGCCCGAACGGCAGTGGAAAAAGCAGCTGTGTGGCCCTCCTGGAGCACTTCTATGAACCTCAGTCCGGGGAGGTCCTGCTGGATGGAGTCCCAGTTGGGAAATATGAGCACAAGTATCTTCATAGGCAGGTGAGGCAGTCCTTATCATCTGCGGGATGAGCCCTAGGTTTTTTTGGTGGTTGAAGGGTTATACGTGGGGAGGTTTTGGGAGAGGGGTGATGCAGAATGGACAGGACCACATGACAGGGTGATATGGTTGGAATTGTCTGGGGTTTAAGAACATCTAGGTTATCCTGTTTCCCCGAAAACATTACCTACCCTGAAAGTAAGTCCTAGCTTTATTTTTTACCCATGCACCCAATATAAGCCCTACCCCCCAAAAAGCCCTAGTTTAGATCCCACCCACTCCAGATTGCATGGGTAAAAATTAAGCTAGTGTGGGGATGGGGTGGAGGTTGGAGCTGCCCTACTACTTACTTTTGGACAAAACTGTAGCCAGGCCTCGCACACCCCGACACCTGCCTCCCTGGCCCATTTCTTCTGCAGCTGGCAAGGCTGGCAAGACTTTCCTGATGGTCTCTGTAGCTGATAACAAAGCTCCGGATCGATCTGGAGCTGTTATTGGCTGCAGAGGCCTTCAGGAAAGCCTTGCCGGAAGCACCAGTAGAAGTTCCTGAAGGCCTCTGACAGTGAAAAGGAGGGCAGGGGCTATGCGTGCAAGTGAGGTTAGTCAGTGAATGACATCCCCCTAAAATAAGACCTGGTGCCTTTTTTGGTGGGGGAAAAAGGGTCTTATTCTTGGGGAATCACGGTATATCAGGGTTGTCAAACTTGATTTCATTGAGGGCCGCAACAGGTTTGTGTTTGACCTTGCGGGGCCAGGTTGGGCATGGCTAGCTCAATGTCACTTTTGTTGGCGGTGTCTGTGGTAACCTGAGTGCTTTGCCAGCGAAAACAGGCTCCCGAGCTCTGTTTTCAGGTGCAACGGCTTCCTACAACCCTCTGCCAGCAAAAACGGAGCTCGGGAGGGCCACCTGCAGCCTTCCCGAGCTCCATTTTCACTGGCAGAGACACCATGGGCCGATCCTTTGCTGTTTCCTAGGTGGCTCTGCAGGCCAGATCTAAGCACCCTGTGGGCCAGATCTGCGCCCATGGCCTTGAGTTTGAAACCCCTGATCTATATCAATAGGCTTTGGGAGAGGAGCAATGCAGAGTAGCCAGGATCATATATTAGAAGGTCATGGATGGAATTGTCTGGGGGTTAAGAGCATTTATTTTGTTGTGTCTACGCAGGCGTGGACACTAAGTTCTCCTGTCACGAGCAGCGCAGGAAAATAGTTTAAAGCTGTAACAGATGGGCAGGCAGCACCTAAATAAGGGGATGCCCGCCAGCAGGAACATTAGTTGATATATTGTTGTAGATACTTACCTCGTGCAGTAAACAAGTGTAGCAGATCCTCGACTTCTGGTGTTTATTCCGACCTCCGATCCAACATATTTAGTTTAGTTTGTTGTCCATCTTGCCACATGCATTGCAGTTTTCTTTGTGTACTTGTTTTAAAATGCTGATTTTTATAACATAAGATGGCATTTTTATGCCATTCCTTCCTCAAAAAAAAGTGGAAAGAGTCTCTGGTTTTCAGAAGTTCTATGGCTGATATCCAAAATTCCAGCAGAGAAAAGTGAATGCAATGCCGCTAAGGCAATGCCACAAAATCAGGGCTTGGGATGTCCATAGTTGCTCAAATCTGCTTAGTGCAGAAGGTAGCAAAAGATGCATGGAATGAAAGGCTTTTGATTGCTTATGCATAGGTTAAAAAGGTGCAACATTCAGGATATTCTGCATACGTGGTTTATATCCTGAGGTAAAAGGTTGGAATCTCCTATGATCTATGAATGTGGCCATATAGTTTCTCTGAAAAGAGATTTCTCTTTATATTCTGAAGTATAAAGGTTAACCCCCCCCCCAAGATGTGATATATTTTGGTGACCTTCCTAGTCTAGCAATGAAACTGGAATTCGTCCAGGTGACAACCATGTTTGATCCTATTTAGTTTTCAAAATCAGGCGAGGTTGTTTGGGTGTTGCCACTTTGCTTCCAAAGAAGAGCAGATAACAAGTCAAGGTCTACATTTGGGAGACATAGTAAATCTGATGTCGGAAACAGCTGCACCTTGAGTGTCATCCAGTCCCACCCTGGAAAGTGGTGTTTCTCCCTCAGCCCAGCCCTGTTCTGATAGGCCTCCCTGTCCAATTGCAGGTGGCCCTGGTGGGCCAGGAGCCCGTACTATTCTCTGGGTCCATCAGGGATAATATCACCTATGGCCTGCAAGGCTGCAGCGAGGAAGATGTGAGCAGAGCAGCGGAAGAAGCTGATGCCTTGGGATTCATCCGTGATCTGGAAGGAGGCTTTGATGCAGGTGGGCAAAATCCATCCATCCCCCCTTGATTCATCCCATAAAACCCCCACTTTCCTCCCGGTAAACCCACCGGTCCCGTTTCTTGGCTCTTCTGAAGTGAAATCCTGCTTGTTCTGTTGCAATATATACAGTAGTTCTTGTGTTAGGACCATTTCTTCGGCTATCGTTCTAAATTACAGTGGCACCAAATAAATGGAGGTTGCAACCAGTGGTGGGATTCAAATAATTTAACAACCGGTTCGCTTGCTCCACCCACCACCACCCAGATGCCCTCGCTTCCCCCAAGCATTTCTTTACTAATCTGATTTCCAGCTCCGTCACATTTCTCACTGTTGTGTGCAGGGAAACAAAAGTTTGTGAGACTAAAAAGATAAACCTCCAATCAATCAATACTGATTTTGTGAGATTTTCCACAAGAAGTTGGAATTGAGTGATTGAAGTTTTTTTTTTCCTTAGTCCCACAAACTTTTGTTTCCCTGTAGAACAGCGAGAAACGCAACCGATGCAAAACGGTTGAATCCCACCACTGGTTGCAACTAGTCCTTGAAGTTGTGACTTTTCCCCCTCCCCTGTAGTCACGTGATTGCCATCTGGGTGCTTGGCCACCACTGCACTTACAACAATCGCAGTGCCCACAAACAAATCATCACCATTTGCTATCTTCCTTGCCAACTTCCCACAAACGAAGTCAATGGGAAGCCTTAGGGAAGGCCACAAGTCACTGGGGTAAATCTCCCTTACCTGGCAGGAGCTACTCCAAGGCCCACAATGTGAGGCAGGTGCTGCTCCAGCCACACACACGCTCCCTTGCCTGGCAGCAGACACTCTGGGGCCCAAAATATGTAGTATGTCTCTGAGGCTGCCTATGTATCTTCCCGCACCAACCCACATCCAAAAAGCCTCACCCGCACTGCTGCTGCAACCACCCCCACCCCTCAACCCTGCCATCATCCACCTACTGCCTGCCAGCCTGCTTGTTGAGCCTCCTGGGACTTACACATACCTGTAGTCCCTGATTCTGCTTGTGAGAAGCTGGCAGGTAATGGCAAGGAGATCCTTGCCTAATGACCAGTGGGATTATGTTAACAGTGGCAATTGGGGACACATGGATTGTCTCCACTAAGCAATGCAGTCATGGACCATCAACCTTTCAACCACCTCACTTAGCAATGAAAATTCCTGTCACAGTTTGTCATGCCTCTGGTGGTGACTGACTCTGAAGAAGAGGAGGAACAGCCAACAGGGAGTGGGAGTGTGGCTCCAGAGGTGGTAGAGGAGGCTGAGGAAGGGCAGAAGCTGGCTGAGCAGTCAGAGGAGATCCAGGCCCATCCCCTATCCATCCTAGGTCACGCAGGGAGAAGAGGATCAGGGAAAAGCGAGGACTACTCAGGAGGAGATTACCATGATCCTCCTCATGGCTTGCAGCTGGGAGCTACGTATATAAGTTTGTAACTGCATAGTCAGAATTGCTGGAGTCAAAGTTTAGTGTTTACTTTGAAAGAGCTTTATCTTTGCTGGCGTTCTTCCCATGGACTCTCCTCAGTTATCTTCCTGGAATGTATGAATAATTATCTTGGCTTGCTTCGGAACTCTCGTCAATGCGGTTTGTTTTGGTTTTCTTTTTGCCTCATTATTTACGTTTGTGACTTTAAACTGTGCCTAATAAAACAGCGAAGTTAAGTTGAAGGCATTACCGGACTTTAATGTATGTTTTGGGTTATGGATTATTTTGAGAGACTACGGGTCATCACACAGTTGCTCTTGTAGCTTGAGGACTATCGGTAAAGCTCCAGGTTACACAATCATTCTTATTGTAACAATATCATTAAAACACTAATGCAAAAAAGAGAATTCAAAGAGCTGATTGCACTGTTGGGCTTTTTCAAAAATTGCAAGTCCTAAAATCTCTTCTAGAATTGTTAAAAAGTACAAGGGGGTCTTTTCTCCTCCTCTAGACCTTTTGCACTGCAAATAAGCTGTCCAAATTGTGGTGTCTCCCTCCCACTTCAGAGAGTGTTGGGCTTCTAGTTTTGCCTTGTTTTTTTTTTTTTTTTTTAAAACAAGTTTTATTAAAAGTTTCAACAACAAACAAATCATTACATATTGAATCTTTCCCTGTCTTTCTACAATAATTTCCCCAATATTCTCATAAAACACAAACAAACACAAACAAACATAAAAAAAATCTTTTAGTAAAGTACCTTGGCCCCAGTTACCTCTCTTTGCATGGGCTAAAATAATAGCACATATCACTCTTCACATTTCTATCTTATTTAATCCATCTTAATTAAATCATTAAATTTGTATCTTTTGCCCATTCAATTATCCCTCTATCTCTTCTTATAATAAAAAAAAAATTTCTCCTGAAATCACTAATCAGAGTATGATGCCTTCTATCCTCCCCCTAAGTTAGTAAAATTAACATTCAGCATAACAAATACCCAATTTGGTTCTGCTTGGTACATTCTATCCACCAAAAATATTTAAATACATTGTATCCTCCTTTCCTTCGATATTTTATTACATTTTAAAAATCAATCATTATTAAAAACTTCAACATTTTAATTTCTTATTAAATCTTAAACCATTCTAATTTACTATTTCAAATATAAATGTTACAATACCATCTTCTGTACCTTAGCAGAATCTTTCTTACAGAAAATTATATTTCATCCTTTGTCTCTAAAAAAAATCCCTCTTCTCCCATCCAATTTTAAAGCTTTGAGGCTTTTCTCCGCCTTTCCCCTTTCTTTCTTCCCCCACCAAATCTTCCTACCCCCCCTTCTTCTTCTAACCTCTACCTTGCTGGGATCCCTTCTCTGTTGTGTTCCCTTTTTCTCTTGTTTGTTATCATTATATTTACTTTGCATCATATTTTTCTCTTTCTCAAATGTTTTTTTAGATCTTAAGTCCTTCATTTTCCTTGCTCTCTTCCTTCCTTCTTCCTTAGATAAGTTTTGGGATTCAATGAAGATGGCGTCTTCGTCTCTTCCTTGTTGTTCTTCTTCCGTTTCCATCTGTTCCATTGTCTGTTGGTAATTGACCAGCGCCATTTCTAGAAATAGAAAAGCTTTTTCCATGCCATCTTTGCAGGCTGCTTTTGTTTGCTCATATTCATCCCTCAGGTCTTCAAAAAGGAAAGCCATTATAAATAAATCTTTTCTTTTCTTTATTCCTCTTTCTTCTTACACCAACCAAATATTCCGAGAGAAAGGCAAAACAATCCCAAAATCCACAATCCTCAATAAATCCAAGCAAGCCAAAATTCCCCCTTCCTCTTCCAGGGGTGGTATCAAACAAATAAAAAAAAAGAATCCAAGTCTATATTTTAAAGCCTTATTAAGATTGTATTTCTGTCCTCAAGTCTTCAAGGCATCTCCTCCAACAAGATCCAAATTAATATATTTTCTTTATCCTCTCCCTTCCGGCTTAATTCCGTCGGGAGGGAGAGTAAACTTTCCCTTCAGCACCTCAAAATAGCCGCTTTTTTTTCTCTTGTGGAAGAAATCATCAGAAAACCATCTTTTCCAGGAATTAAATTAGATAAATCTCAAAGCCCTGGGTCGACCAAGAAGAACTTTTACTTTCAATAACTTTCTCTTCTTCCTCCTGCGCATACTTGCCCGGCTGTCAACTTCTTTGTGGCGGCCATTACGGACCGCCGCTGCACCGTCCTGGTAACAGGGGGTTCTGCCGGCCAGGGAGGGGGTCTGCAACACCCCCAAACCCTTCCTCCGGATCCCCCTTACCTTCAGCTACCCCTGCAGGGCAGCCTTGCTCCGCACCCGTCCGGGTCGGAGCCCCAAAACGGCTAGCGCGGCAGGGATCGCGCAGCTTCGCGAATCCCTACCGCTCGCGAAGCCGACAAACCGGAAACCCTAGTTTTGCCTTGTTTTTTAACTGAATGGCTTTGCCACCCCTTTAGGGCAACAAGATTTGGTTGGCCTTGACTTTGCTCTTGATCTCCTCTGTTTTCCTTGCTTGCCTTCTTTTGCAGAGGTGGGGGAGAAGGGGGGCCAGCTCTCCATTGGGCAGAAGCAACGGCTGGCCATCGCCCGGGCCCTGATCCGTGACCCGAAGGTCTTGGTGCTGGATGAAGCCACGAGTGCCTTGGACCCCGAGAGTGATGCTGCAGTGAGTGCAGGGGATCCATGAGGGGGCAGGGATCTTGGCTGGAGTAGTTCAGAGCCGCTGAAGGGCTTAATCTGAATTTTTGTGAAGTGACAGCATAGGAAAACTGGGTTTATTTGACAGGAAGTATCAAAATTTCTTCCAAGTTTGCTAAATTTCTGGTTCTGGTAACCAACAGTCTTGGAACATTCTCCTAGGCCACGCATATTTGCCTTCATTTGGGTGGTTTTTATTGTTTTCCGGACTGCAAAGAGTTTGGGGCCAAACTCTATTGCAGTGCTTGAGAAGAACTTTTCAGTGGAAATGTGAGGGAGCTTCTATCTAGTGTTTCTAAGGAGCTCAGGATTTCCTCTGGATCATTGCTTCCTTTTTTAGATCCAACGGCTTGTGCAGAAACATGGAGACCGGACCGTGTTGGTGATTGCTCATCGGATGCAGACGGTGGAGAATGCAGACAAGACTATAGTGCTGGAAGGAGGAGAAGTTGTGGAGGAGGGGACTCACCTAGAGCTGATGGCCCAGGAAGGCCTCTATTACAAACTGGTGGAAAGGACCCAGGCGGAGTAACTTCCGGAGATGCAACAGAGATGCTCAGCCACAGGATCCACTGCTTTTGTAGATGCCAAATGCATGATTGGTTGGGGAAATAGACAACAGCACTCTCTTAGGGAAAGAGAGTGACCCAGAAGCTGGCCTGTTTAGCAGCTCTTGGCCAGTCAAGGGTTGCTGAATTGCAGCCATTTGGAAGAGGAGGCTGTCTTTTTCATCTGGGGATAATTCATGTGATGTTAAGTGGCAACTGGGGCCCTGGAAACTCCGTAGTGAAAAGTGCACAATCCCATTTCAAGCAACTATTTTGTTCAGCAAACATACCAATACCCGTTTTTTACTTGTTTAAATTTAGTATGTGAGACCTTTTTGTACAACCTGCTCTTTTGTCACACTTTTTAATATTGGTTGCAGAAAGTAGACTTCCTGTTTATTTAACAAAATTAAGTCTCTGTGTGATCCCTTTTACTTCTGGCAAATCTACATATGGATGCATGTCACATAGGTAGGTCTCGATTAGTGTGGTTAGAGAATCCCACAAAGAGCCAACCAGCTCTCTAGAGAAGGATCTAAAGCTGGGGGGAAAGGCACAAGAGAAGTGGATGATCAGTGCAAGGGGAATGGATTCAGTTACTGAAGGGAAGCCCTGATGATCCAGGTAAGTGTCTGGCTGCTAAGAGTTGACACTGACTTGAGGGCCCTCAACAAATCATCCAACCCAGTTAAAGTGTACATCTTTTTTTCTCCCAACTTGCTTCCTAATTTTAAGAAGACCCAAATATTTACTTTTTAAAGATCCCAGGTTGTCATTAACCATGTCTCAGTGTAATTAATGCTTGGATGGCAAATAAGATTCCAGCCCAAACCAAATTTTTTTGCATATTCCACATAAGCTTTCCCCCAAGTTTGAATCCCTTGAAGATGAGTAGCTTAACAGAATAACAGGGTTGGAAGGAATCTTGGAGGTCTTTCTGCTCAGGCAAGAAACACTACCATTTCAGACAAATGGTTTCCCAATCTCTCCTTAAAATCCTCCAATGTTGGAGCACCCACAACTTCTGGAGGTAGAACTAGTTTTGAATTAAATTCATTGCATGGATTTATACGGTTTCTCCTGTATGGATCCCTTGGTGAAAAGTAAAGGTATCGTCACACCTGTGCATCCTTTGAGAATCAAGTTGTCCTTTCTTAGCAAAACTGTTTCCACACACTATATTTTTATGGTTCCTGGGTGAATCCTTTCATGATTCATAAGATATCCCAAGGAAGTCACTTCTCACACCATACATTTATATGGTTGTTGCCCAGCGTGGATCCTTTTATGAGAATTAAATTGTCCTGAGTAAAGTTCTTCCCGCGGTCCAGGCATTTATATCATTTCTTCCCTGTATGGATTCTCTGATGGTGAGTCAGAGTTATTCGCACTAAAGTCATTTTCACACTATGCATTTATGTTTCTCCCATATCAATCTTATTTTTTCTTGACTTTTCTGCTTGGTTGTTCCTGGCTGCTTGAGGAGTTGATTGGGTTTCAAGAGGTTGCACAACCTAAAAAAACCAAACAGAAATTGATCCTCTGGGCTGTTTGTCCACCTAGCTAGCTATAATGTGGATACTGCTGACTGTGATGGTTGGTTTCATATACCGCAAAGAATATACAAAGGAAACTAGAAGGATTGTAGTTAATAAGAATTTATTAATAAAATTCAAAGACTTGCAAAATTGAAGATTTTTCTTCCTTGAAATGCCTCCAGAATCACCACCTTGAACTGGACCAGGAAGCAAACTGGCAACCAATGTAGCTTGCAGAGTAGAGGTATAGCTAGCATATGCCATTCTAGGAGTTCACATAACTGCCACATCCCTGCCTTTTGTATCAAACTCTTCAAGGGCAGCCCCATTTAGAGCACATTACAGTATTTCACCTGGGAGCTGTCCAAGGCATGAGACTAAGCAGAGCCTGCTAATCCAAGAATGGGCAAACTAACACACAAGATGAGACTGCAATTTTTAGCTTCTCATTTACTTATCCTTTTTTCCCCACCTTCCATGGTTGACAGATTATCATATACAGCCCTAACTTCCTTTGATTGCAGACCTAGTGTTCAAGCCCTACAGAGGTAACTACCTTTCAGAGATTTCCCATACATACAGAAAGTGTAAGATGAATGAGACAATGATACATTTTAGTGATTAGCCCATTCTCTCGTACATTTCTATGGCAACTCATCTGTATGGGTCATCCTATGACAAGTAAAGTCACAGATCCATCTTCAGTTATTTCCACATTTGAACACTTAATTTTTTTCTCCTATATGGATGGTAAATAAGATTCCATGTCAAACAGTTGCCTTATCAGTGAGATAGGCAGCATATAAATTTCATAAATATAAATAAATTTAATAAGTAAAACCAAAATCTTTGCCTTTTACATGCATTAATAAGCTTCTGCCATGACTGCATCTTTTGATAATGATTGTTTCTTGTCATAAAAGGATGTACAAACTATATAACTGGAATGATCTTAGTTTGAAATAATCATTAAGAGCATTAGAGTGGTGATGGTGCAGTGGTTAGAGTGCAGTACTGCAGGCTACTTCTGCTGACTACTGATTGCCAGCAGTTTGACAGTTCAAGTCCCACTGACTCAAGGGTTGACTCAGCCTTCCACCTTTCTGAGGTCAGTAAAATGAGTACCCAGATAGTTGGGGGCAATATGCTGACTCTAAACCGCTTAGAGAGGGCTGTAAAAACACTGAAGCTGTGTATGTCTTAAATGCTATTGCTATTAAGATCATAAGATCATTGCAGTTTTATATGGTTTCTCCTCTGTACATCCTTTTATGACAAGCAGCCAACTATACTCAGTGAAGCATTTACATATTGCACACATTTATATGATGGTAAGATCTGTGTTGTGAACTTCCAAAGAGATGCTATGTTTCCCATATCTGCAAACAGGTATAGAAAATGTATGATGAGCAAGACGGTGGTGTACTGACTTACTCATTATCTCATATATTTCTTCGGAAACTCCCTTGTATTTGTTATTGTGTGACAGATAAGGCCACTACTTTATCTTCATCATATAGGAGCTGTGGTGGCAGTGGTTAGAATGCAATGTTGCAGGCTAACTGCATTCTCACCTCCAGTTCGATCCTGAAGGTTCAAGATTGTTGGTGGCAATATGTTGACTCTGTAATATGTTGACACTTAGAGAGGGCTGCAATGCTATATATAGTAGTATATAAGTCTGTGTACTATTCAGCTTTTCACACACAAGTGTTAATAGCATTTCTCCTGTGAAGATATTTGGATGGTAAATTAATTAATTCCATTAATTTAGACAGATTTTCCTATAAGCAGCTTTTCATAAGAAGTGCACTACACTCAATGAAGCTTGTTTGACATTCCATGAATTATCATTTTTCTCCTTTGTGGATCTCTTTATGACAAGTAAAGGACCCATACACATTAAAGCCTTTTTCACACAATGCATTTATATGGTTTATCTCATATGGATCCTTTGGTGACAGTACTGTCTGTTGTTGATAAAGCTCTTTCTACACTACATTTATATCATCTCACATCTGTGTGGATCATGTCCTTTCTTAGTAAAGCTCTTTTCACATTCCAAGCATTTATATGGACAATCCCCAGTGTGGATCCTTTGGTGGCGGGTAAGGTCTTTGTTGAGAAAAAATATTTTTTTTCACACTCCCTGCATTCATATGATCTCTTCCCAGAGTGGATCCTTTGGTGACGAGTAAAATCTCTGTTGTCAATAAGACTATCCCAACACTCCATACATCTGTACGTTCCCTCTCTTGTGTAGATCCTTTCCGGGCTCCGGGCCCCGGGCCCGAGTAGGCAGCCTTCCGCCACGGCCACAGCCTGGGCGCAGTTGTCCACCCCGCACTCCCTCAGCCAGCCCGACAGCTCCGAGGGCAGCAGGTCCAGCATCTCGGCTTTGCTGCTCCGCTCGGGCCACAGGCACCTCCGGCACAGCCGGCTGCAAAGCGCCCGAGGTCCCTCGGGGAGGCGGCTCAAGCTGTCTCTTCCCTCGCCTGACTCCCCGCCGCCGTTCCCCGCCTGAAGAGCAGCGGGGGCTGCTGCTGCTGCTTTCGCCCTCGGAGACCCCTGAGCCTCCATTCGGTCTCCGGCTTCCCTTCAAGGCCGCCTTCAGTCACGGCCCACCCCTCCCCGCCCCACTCTTTTCCCGGATTCCAGATGGAAAGAAGGCGGGCTCCGTTTCCTCAGAGCTTTAGCGCCTCAGCAGGACAGCTACAAATCGTTCCCGCCAAAACTTCCCGCGCCCTCCCGGCCTTTTATAGAGCCCGGTCAGATAGCGCAATTTCCTAGAGAGGCAAAAAAAACAAAAACAAAAAAACTCGCTGCACGCGACCCTGCTTTCCTGCCCTGGGGGGGAGCCCCCCCCCCCCCCCCCCCTACAATCGACCGCTTCTCCTGGGCAGCGAGCACCGATAGGGACCTTCTGCGCGTGCTCCGTTCATTTTCGACCGTTGAGAGCCGTTGGAACTCGGTATTCGGGAACAGTCGGGGGGACGGGGCGAATGCGGGAGTGTGTGGAGAAGGAGAGTGAGGGGGATGGTGGGCACGACCGGTGGGGGTGGAGGGGCTGGAATGAAGAAAGCGGCCTTGGTTGGAAATTGGTTTAATTGCAGCTCCTCTACGTCTGGGATTTCTTTTGTCTCAGAATCCCCTTGAAAATGGGGATGCGTTTTTGGGACAGTTGGAAGGTATGTGTACCTGATAGAGGGCTCTGCTAATGTGAGAGATGGAAAGAGAAGAGCAGGCATCCAGCCAGATTTATTCATTTACTATTAAACAAGACAGTTTGTGATGATTTGGGTTAAATATATCAAAGATATTTGCAATAATGGTGAATAGAATAGAAACAGAATTGAATACAGATAGAATAGAATAGGAATAGAATAGAATAGAAATACAATATTGCAAGGGACTTTGGAGGTCTTATAGTCCAACCCCCTGCTTAAGCAGGAAACCCTACACCACTTCAGACAAATGGTCATCCAATCTCTTCTTAAAAACTTCCAGTGTTTGGAGCATTTACAACTTCTGGAGGCAAATTGCTCCACTGATTAATTGTTCTGTCAGGAAATTTCTCTTTAGTTCTAGGTTGCTTCTCTCCTTGATTAGTTTCCAGCTTCAGCTTCCAGCTTCTTCTCCTGCCCTCAGGTGCTTTGGAGAGTAACTTGACTCCCTCTTCTTTGTGGCACGCCTCCCCTTCAGCCCTCAAGTTCAAACACAACTCTGATGCAGCCCTCCTTGAATTCGAGTTTGACACCCCTGAGAAAAAGGAATTGTCGTGTTGAATCCCCAGTCTGTGCAATTTGAACTTTATGGAGCTGGCAGGTTAGAGGCTTTTTAGGGCGCATTCAGTGATTGCATGGGGGAAGCCTTGCTGGAATGCAAAAAAGGTACACGTGATGGATGTGAGCTACCCTTATTCCTAGAGATATTTCCTTTCACTTCCAATCTGTATTCCTGACTATTTTTCTGATTAAGTGCCAAGGATAGAGGAAGTACCTGAATCCTTTTGAGAAATCATGGAACAAATGTATTTATATAATTTATACAAACCAAATGTCTCTGCTGGTTTCATGCAACAAAAAGTCTCCTCCTGTGTCTGAATCCTTTAATGATGAAAAAGTTGATTGTTTTGAATTAACCTCATTTCATGGAGTTCCAGTTAGTCCTCAATTTTGACCACAAAGTCTGAAGGAAAGCCTCCGGAATCCGGTGGAGGGTGAAAATGCCCCTCCCTCTGTGGTGCAGGAGGCCGACTAGGCCACACCCACCATGGCCACACCCACCAAGCAACTGGGCAGAGAACCTGTTGCTGAAATTTTTGAAGCCCACCCCTGCTAGAATCTGAATTTTGATCACATGACCAAGGAGATGCTACAATAGTCGGGTGAAAACTGGTCAGAAGCCACTATTTTCAGTGCCGTTGTTAAAATTACTAAATGAACTTGAAAGTCAAGGACTACCCATATATACTTTTTCTCATGCGCATCTTTATGAGCACACTACAGGTAATCCTCACCTTACAACAGTTCATTTAGCGACTGTTCAAAGTAACAATGGCACTGAAAAATGTAACATGACCGTTTCTCACAGTTACAATCATTGCAACATCCCCATGATCATGTGATCAAAATTCAGACACTTGGTAACTGGTTCATATCTATGACTCTTGCTGTGTCCCGGGGTCATGTGATCCCCTTTTGCGGCCTTCTGACAAGCAAAGCCAATGGGGAAGCCAGATTCACTTAGCAACCATGCTAATAACTTTATCGACTGCAATGATTCACTTAACAACTGTGGCAAGACAGGTCGTAAAATGGGGCAAAACTCACTTAACAAATGTCTCAACAGCAGAAATTTTGGGCTCAATTGTGGTTATAAGTTGAGGACCACCTGTATTTTCAATGAAGCTTATTTCACATTCCATGAATTTATAATTTCCTCCTGCGTGGATGTCTTCATGACAAATAAAGGTCCCGTAGTCATTAAAAAGGTTTTTTCATCCTCACTGCATGTATAAGGATTCACTCCTGTGTGGATCCTTTGGTAGTGACTAAGATCTTTGTTGTCCATAAAGCTGTCTTCATATACCATACATTTATATGGTCCCTCCCCCATGTGGATCCTTTTATGAGAATTCAGTTTTCCTTTCTGAGTAAAGCTCTTTCCACACTCCAGGCATTTATATGGTCTGTCTCCTGAATGGATACTTTTATGAGAAATAAGTTTTCCTTTCTCAGTAAAGCTCTTTCCGCACTCCAGGCATTTAAACGGCTTATCCCCTATGTGAATCATTTGGTGACGAATAAGATCTTTGTTGCCAAAAAAGCTCTTTCCACACTCTAGACATTTATATGGTCTGTTTCCTGTGTGGATCCTTTGATGGGAAGTTAGCTCTCTATTCTCAATGAATCTTTTTCCACACTCCATGCAACCATATGGTTTTTCACCAGTGTGGATCCTCTGATGACGGTTCAGATAAGAGTTTCTACTGAAGCCCTTTCCACACACTGTGCACTTATAAGGTTTCTCTCCTGTGTGGACCCTTTCATGACAAGTAAGATGTTCTTTCTGAGTGAAGCTCTTTTCACACTCTGTGCATTTGTATGGTCTTTCACCTGTGTGGATCCTTTTATGAGAATTAAGTCGTCCTTCCTCAGCAAAGCTCTTTCCACATTCTCTGCATTTATATGGTCTCTCCCCTGTATGGATTCGTTCATGGCGAGTTAGATGTCCTTTCTGAGTAAATCCTTTTCCACATGACATGCACTTGTAGGGAGTCTCTATAGGGTGGATTATTTCATGATGGATAAAGTTGTCAGTAAAGCTTTTTTCACACTCCATGCACCTATATTGACTCCGCTCTGTATTGATCCTTTCACGGCAAATAATATCTCTGTTCTCAATAAACCTCTTTCCACACTCTACGCATTTATATAGTCTCTCGCCTGTGTGGATCCTTCTATGAGAACTAAGTTGTCCTTTTTGCGCAAAGCTCTTTCCGCATTCTGTGCATGTATATGGTTTCTCTCCCGTGTGGATCCTTCTGTGATGAGTAAGGTGTCCTTTCTGACTGAACTGCTTTCCGCACTCCATGCATTTATGTGGTTTATCACCGGTGTGGACCCTCTGATGGCGATTGAGATTACTCTTGCTACTGAAGCTCTTTCCACACCTCACGCAGAGTTTTATCTTTCTGCCCAAAATGAAATCCCTCCCAAATTTTACAAAGGTATGTGCTTTGTGTTTCCCATAGAGTTTTGTATGTAAAGCAAGAGAGAAGAACTGATCGACATATTTTCCATACTGTTTGGTAACATACTCTTTTCCTGTGCTCTGGCTTCTGCCACATTCCTCTAAGTCAAATTCACTTTGCTCTCTTTTGCCATCTTTCCCTTTCCTCTTCCCTGGTTGGGTGAGGAAGTCATGGATTTCAATAGGGAGAGAAATGAAGGAGATCTCCTCTCCATCTTCTGAGGGGCTTCTCACTTGCATTTGTGGGCCCCTTTCATGGCCAAACATCATTTCTTCCAGTTCATGCTTTACTGTTTGCACTTGCATTAGCCCTGGCTGCTTATCATTCTCATTCTCCAGCCCATCGCCTGAAGAAAAGAAAATAGAAATTCCTATTAGAATTTAGATGTCAAGCAGCAGAGAAATCAGGAGTTCCAGGCAGTTCAAATGGGTATAAAGATTTATTGCAAACTTAAACTGTCTACAAGAATCTGAATGACTAATGGCTAAAGCAACTGATGGTAGGTCGAAGGAATTCTAGGTGGGCTTAAAGGGACTCATGACTGATGACACGTTTAATCCCTCCCTTGGGCTCAGCTTGGTCCTCTGCTGCATTACAACTGTTAAGGATAGGCAGTGCCATGTGTTTGGCTTGGAGACCTTAGGTGCAAGTTGTTGTCTAGGAATTTTAATGGAATTCAAGAAATTTTTAGTTGGGAGTCTGATTTGTTATTCTGCCCAAGCATTTCCATGGAGCATCTAAGGCTCTCCCCAAAGCTATGGTCAGTGTTTCTGCCAAGGCCTTGGCTGTGACGAGAACCTTTGGACAAAATTGCCCCTAAATTGTCTCTGCCCCTGAATTGTGATCCAGCAGGGTCCTGGCAGTTGAAAGGAATCGAGGAGAAATGGATAGAGTTCTTTCCTGCAGTAGCTCTTCCATGGATATTTGCTAACTACAAAACATGTGTCACCTTGATTGTTTTCTTGAGATTAGAAAAGGTTTTAAAGATGTGCTACTATTCAGATGGTGGCCAGGTAGAGTCCTCACCGCCTTAAGCAAATGAGTGAAGGTATCTTCACTGTTTACCTTCCCACTGAAAACACCTTTCCCAATGAATGGACCCAGAGCAAAGAGGATCCTTACCCAGAGTAGCCATATTCTTAGAAACCTCCAGCATGACTTCCCGGCATAAATCCTTCTGGCCAGAATCCAGCAGTGCCCACTCCTCCTCTGTGAAATCCACAGCCACTTCCTCAAAGGGAGCAGTACTCTAGAAAGAGAGACAACATCTTCATTAGTAGACAATCCCAGGAAACACTTGTATGTTTCAGGCACAAACCAGAAAAAAGAGCTTTGCAAGAGACCAAATGGACATTTTGTGGCAAAGCAGACTTGAGTCTTCTTCTCCCCATAATTCTTGTGTCTTTGAAATTCCCAAGCAATCTAGGCTTAAGTGCATCTAAGTAATAGAATAACAACATTGCTCTGACTCAGGAGCCTCTTCCTGGTCCAGAATAATTCAGCAAGGAAATTGGGGAGACAGTATCCTTGGCCTCACCTGTCTGGTTCAGCAAATTGCTTAGAAAATAGGATAGGGGCCGTAACGCATTTCTAAATGGATGTGTGTTGGCATATTTTTGAAGTTTTAATCCAGCCTGCATTGTTTCACTTCATGGTTTTTATTGTTTAACTTCATTTGAAAAGTGTTTTGCAAAACATTAAGATGAAACTCTTCCAACACATAAAATACATTTCCTAATATAGAATAACAGAGTTGCAAGGTGGTCTTCTAGTCCAGTCCTCTGCTCAAGCAGGACATACTATACAGTTCCAGACAAGTGGCAATCCAGTCTCTTCAAAAGCCTCCAGTGATAAAGCATCCACAACTTCTGAAGGCAAGTTGTTCCACTGGTTAATTGAATTGTCCTCAATGCTAGAAGATTTCTCCTTAATTTCCAGGTTGCTTCTCTCCATGATTAGTTTCCATCCATCGTTTCTTCCCTTCCCTTCAGATGATTGGAGAATAGGTTGATCCCCTCATCTGTGTACAAGCCCCTCAAATATTGGAACACTGCTATGATGTCACCCCTAGATCTTCTTTTCACTAGATTAAACATACCCAATTCCTGCAATGTTATCTTTTTGGTTGCTGCCCCCTAATCATCTTTTGCTCTTTTCTGCACTCTTTCCTGAGTCCAAACATCTTTTTTTTATGATATATTATTACCTTACCTTTTATTTTACTATATTATTATTGTGAATAGTCCTTTGTTTGCATTCATAGAACCACCTTAAAAAATGAATGAATGTGACTCAGTGGGCCATGCTGGGGAGACACCAGGTTCCAATGCACACAGACTCAGCATTTGGTTGTAAGAGGAGCTCATGAATGGAAGGAATTTAAAACCTCTCATAAGAAACCCACACTTACCTGGCAAGGTGGCCCCAATTGGATCCTTCTGAAAAGAAGCTCTTTAGAAGGACTGGATCGATCTCCTGTTCGCTGGAGCTCTGCTGAGATCTCCCCAATGAATGGCTCCTGCAACTAAAAGAACAGCCCGATTTATGATCCACTTTCAAATGACTGTAATCGTGTTCACTTGGCTTACATTTTTCCTCTCCACTTGTACTTCCCCAACCCTGTCAGAGAACTTGAGAACTAAAACATCTTTTAAATTATGACTATCCAGTGTATGACTTGTCCCCATCCTGCAAAGTTATTCCCACATACTATTACACCATCCCAACAGGTGTTGTTTGGGTGTATTTTCTCTGCAATTATGTGCAAGGAAGAGAGACAAGAGGCATAGAAGAGGATGAAAGTGCCTCACCTGCCGCCTCTTTCTGGGCAGCTGTGGGGCTGAGCAGGCAGCCTTAGGTGAGGGGAATCCTGACTTTAGGAAACATTTATTAGCCCTTCCAGGTAGACCAGACAAGCCCCACAATCAGAGTTGGTATTCAGTAGGTTCTGACCAGTTCTGGACAACCGGGAGTGGAAATTTTGAGTAGTTCGGAGAACCGGCAAATCCCACCTCTGACTGGCCCCACCCCATCTATTTTCTGCCTCCCAAGTCCCAGCTAATCGGCTGGGTCTCCTTTGGTCGCCCTGCATAGAACGGAGCTGGAAAGCATGTTAGTGGCGTGGGGAGGGAATGGGATTTTGCAGTATCCTTCCCCTGCCACGCCCACCAAGTCACACCCACACAACTGGTAGTAAAAAAAATTGAATCCTACCACTGCCCGTAATGCATATTAACTCTATCTTTAGTGTAAGACCACATTAATAAAATATTTTTAGATATTCTCCTTGTACTCCCTGGAAAAGTAGGGAGGGTTTTAAATGACATGTTCTCCTCACCCGCCCCGATGGGGGAATTGAGATATCTTTTGCATTATGGCTGTCCAGTCCACGACAAAGTATGAGGGAAAATAGAACGCGGGAATAAGGTCCCACAATGTTACTCCCACATTCTATTTACTATTTATATCCCAACACGTGTTTGGATGTCTTTTCTCTGCGATTATGTGCATGGAAGAGAAACGAGGCGTAGAAGAGGATGAAAGTGCCTCACCTGCCGCCCCTTTCCGGGCTCCGGGGAGTCTGAGGGGCCGAGGAGGCAGCCTTCGGCCAGGGCCACCGCCTGGGCGCAGCTCTCCACCCCGCACTCCCTCAGCCAGCCCGACAGCTCCGGGGGCAGCAGGGCCAGCAGCTGCTCCAGCACCACTAGGTCCAGCATCTCGGCTTTGCTGCTCCGCTCGGGCCGCAGCCACCCCCGGCACAGCCGGTGCAGGCGGCTGCAAAGCGCCCGGGGCCCCTCGGCCTCCCGGGAGGCGCAGCTGCGGAAGCGCCAGCGCTCAGCCTCGGAGCTGCGGGGCCCCTCGGGGAGGCCGCTCCCCGCCTGTAGGGGAGACTCCCGGGCCTCCATTCGGTCTCCGGCTTCAGGGCAGCCCTGACGGGAGAAAACGGCGGACCCTCCCCTAGCCAATCGCCCCGCCCTTTTCCCGGTTTGGGGGGTAGAACCAGGGGCGGTTCCGCTCCCTCAGGGCTTCAGAGGCGGGGAAGAGCAGCTGCAACTCGCTCCCTCCACAGGTTCCCCCTGCCCTCCCAGACACTGGGTCAGAGACGGCTGCATCCTAGAAGGACAAAGCCCTACCAGGCGACTCCTGTCTAGAGCGTCTCCTAATGCAACTAGCGTCTGCTCGGCCTGGAAATGGTTCTCTGCGCATGCCCTGTTCTAGGTTGACGCTTAAAGGACGCCCGTGTTCAGTTGCTGCGAAAGTATTTAGTGGGGAGCGGGAGGGGATGCGAGTAGGGACAAGCGCTAGAAGGGAGGGATTGATGTAGATCGAATGAAACCTGGCTTGGCTGCCGCTTCTGGGCACTTGGGATTTCTTCCCCACCCCCCCACAATCCTCTTGGAAATGTGGGTGCATTGCTGGGACCCGTGGAAAAAATTAGGGGGAGAGGGAAGAGACTTGAGGGTGCTGCAAATGGGAGAAATGGGAAGAATCCTGTGACAGACATCTTAGCAGTAAATTTATTTATAATTAAATAAATATATAAGCAGTACATGGTTTGGAGGTTCCTTCAGGTTATTTTATTTCTCCTGTTGTCTGTATTCCTGTGGCGATCCTCAATGGCTCCCCCCTTTTTTTCTAGTGTACAATCTGCTCCGGACCTTTTTAGTTGTTGTTTCTGTCCTGTTGGAAGTCTACGCTTTTTATTCATCTTTTTGGCTTGAGGTTTCCTGGCTGATTAGATTCTTTAAAAAGTTGATGTGGTTTCAAGGGGCTGCACTATCTTAAAAATATCCAGAAATTGACCTCCTGAAGTTGGTGTTTCTCCCCCTAGTTTAGGCCTGTCAAACTGGCAGCCCTCAGGCTGGATACATCACATGTAGGCCATGCTCACTCCAGCTCTGCAGAGGAAAAATAAAAAATAAATGTGGTATGTCACGATGGAACCCGTGACGTGACCGAGTTTGACACCCGTGCCCTAGGGTGGACTCAAAATTATCCGGCTCTGTATCATTGACCATGACAACAGGGTCAGGTAGTGAAAAAAAGAATACAGAGAAGGAGACAGCAAGAAAATCACATGCCATAAGAGTTTATTAATAAGGTTCCAAGAATATAAAGTTTCTACCCCAAACTCTGTTGGTGAAGAATAATTGTGTTGGCAACTGCTCAAAAGGAGGTGGTCTTTCTGGGGCTCATCTCACTCCTTCAACTTCTCTTGGTCAGAAGATAACGAAAGGACAAGATTTCTTTAGCTAAAGAAGAAAGCGAAGAAACACGAACACTATTTTGTGGGAATTAACATCGGCAGATTGAAATCCTTTCTAGATTTGGTAAACGTATGCAATTTCAGATACATGCTCGGTCTCACAAGACAAGATAGAAAGACACTGACTAGAGAACAAATGAAAATTTATGACGCCTTCTAAAGAGTAAAAGAATAGAAGTGGAAATGCAAGAACTACTAGTGGACAAAGGCAGTCATAGAATGGATTCTACGTAGTAAAAAGCGTTCACAAAAGAGAGACAAGACATAGTCACAACATCAGCAACTATTACAGACCCAAATAGCAAAGCAAATCTCAAGACCATTATTGGTTTGGAAACATGCGGAACAGACCTTCATCCTGCAGTGGACAGACAATGACTAGAATGATGATAAATATTCCATTTCTGTTTTATAGGTTTTTTTTCCAGTCAATTAAGAGGGAAGTCAAGGAAGCTATTAGTCCTCCAGTTGGAAAAGCTGGTGAGATGGTGATGGGCAACAGGGAGGAAACTAAAGGGCTTAATTCCTATTTTGCATCCCTCTTTCTACAGGGAGAAGAAAAAGGCAGGTCAAAGTAGGAAAAAGAACACCTGGCTATTCTGAATGAATTCCAGTATTTGGGACCAGAAAGGTTGTTCTGAAGCTCCTTCCGTGGATTTATATCATTTCTTCTATGGGCATTCTTTTATGAGAATTATGGTGTCCTTCCCAAGGAAAGCTTTTTCTACACACCCTACATTTACATGATTTCTCTCCTGTGTGGATCCTCTAATGGTGAGTTAGATAAGAGTTTCTACTGGAGGCCTTCCACTTTGTCCATTTGGAAGGTTTCCTCCCAGCACGGACCCTTTCATGACGAGTAAGCTGTTCTTACCCAGTAAAAATATTTCCACCCTCCATTAATATGGAATTTTTGTGTGGATTCTTTCACGAGTAAATGTTTTGTAATTGTTAAAGCTTTCTCCACACTACATGTATTTATATAGTCCCATCTCCATGTGGATCATTTTATGGGAGTTAAGTGCCCCTATTTGAGCAAAGCTTCTTCCACACTCTGTGCAGTTATATGGTCTCTCCCCTGTATGGATTCTTTCATGATTAATAAGAGCACTATTCTGACTGAATTGCTTTCCACACTTCATGCACCTGTATGGTCTCTCCCCAGTGTGGATTCTTTCATGACGAGTAAGATCTCTGTTCCAGTTAAAGCTTTTTCCACACTCAAAGCATTTATAAGGTTTCTCTACTGAGTGGGTCCTTCTGTGAGAATAAAGATGTCCTGTCCGAGCAAAGCTTTTTCCACACACTGTGCATTTAAATGGTTTATCCCCCGTGTGTATTGTTTCATGACCAGTAAGACATCCTTTCCGAGCAAAACTCTTTCCACACGCCAAGCATTTATATGGTCTCTCCCCTGTGTGGATCCTTTTATGAGAATTAAGATGTGCTGTTTGAGCAAAGCTTTTTCCACACTCCGTGCATTTATATGGTCTCTCCCCAGTGTGGATCCTTTCGTGATGTATTAGACCTCTACTCCAATTAAAGCTTTTCCCACATACTAAGCATTTGTATGGCCTCTCCCCCGTGTGCATTCTTTTATGAGCATTAAGTTGTACTGTTTGAGCAAAGCTTTTTCCACACTCTGTGCACTTATATGGTTTCTCTCCTGTGTGGATCCTTTGATGACCAGTAAGACATCCTTTCTGAGCAAAAGTCTTTCCGCACACCAAACATTTATATGGTCTCTCCCCAGTGTGGATCCTTTCATGACGAATAAGATCTTTGCTCCAGTTAAAGCTTTTTCCACACTCCAAGCATTTATGTGGTCTTTCCCCTGTGTGTATCCTTTGGTGGAAAGTAAGGTGCCAATTGTCAATAAAGCTCTTTCCACACTCCATGCATTTATATGGTCTCTCGCCAGTGTGGATCTTTTTATGAGAATTAAGTTTTCCTTTCTGAGTGAAGCTCTTTCCACACTCCAGGCATTTATATGGTTTGTCCGCTGTGTGGATCCTTTGATGTCGAGTAAGATCACTGTTCTCAAAAAAGCTCTTTCCACATTCCAGGCAATTATATAGACAAAAGCTTTTTTCATATTCTGGACATTTACACAGCCTCTCATCTATGTGGATCCTCTGGGTGCAATTAAGATTACTCGTGCTAATGAAGCTCTTTCCACACTTCATGCATAGATTCATCTTTTTGCTTAGACTGAAATCCCTCTCATATTTTGAAAATTGGTCCAGTTTCCTATGCTGTATGTTAGGTGACGTAAAAGAGAAGGAATGACTCTTTGCAGATAGTGCTTTTTGCAATAACTCTGGTTGGTTTTCATTCTCATGCCCCAGATCATCACAATCACCATCGCCTGCTTAGAAAAAAAGAAAACATAAATTCTCATTAGAATTTACAAGGATGGAGAAGGGTGTGTGTGTCTCCCTAATGAAAAATATGCCCATTTGAGCATCAGGTTTGGCACCAGCTATGTGTCAAGCTAGGAGAGGGTGGGTGCAAATTGTTATCCAGGTGACTCTAATGGTATCCAAGGGATTTTTCAGCCGAGAACCAGATTAAGATTTTGCTATTAATAGGTCAATCTGCCCAGGCATTTCCATGGAGCATCTAAGGCAGTGATAGTCAATCTGGTCCCTACTGCCCACTAGTGGGCGTTCCAGCTTTCATGGTGGGCGGTAGACGGGTTTTGTCCCCTACTTTATAAATCACCATTACTGTGGAACTGGTAAGCAGTTAGAGAAAACTTTACTACTAACAGAGGTACAAGTGGGCGGTAGGTATAAAAAGGTTGACTATCCCTGATCTAAGGCCTTTCACAAAGCTATGGTGGGCATTTCTGCCAAGGCCTTAGTTGTGTTCTAGAAGAGTGACTGTGATGACAACTTTGGACAAAATTGCCCATGAAGTACCTTGGCTGATTTATGATCCGGGAGGGCCCTGGTGGTTAAAGGGAACCAAAGGGAACTGTACGGTGCCGTTTGCGGCAGAGGCTCCTTCACTGGATATTAGTTACACACTAAACATTCCAAGTCTGATTTTTGTGAGATTAAGAAAGGTTTTACAGGTGGTGGCCAGGAAGAGTTCTGACCACTTTATGCAATTTAGTGCAGGTATCTTCTCCATTTATCTCCGAATGAAAACACCTTTTCCAATGATTGGAACCCAGAGCAAAGAGGATCCTTACCTAGAGCAGCCATATTCATAGCAACTTCCAGCATGACTTCCCTGCACAAGGCCTTTTGGTTAGCATCCAGCAGTGCCCACTCCTCCTCTGTGAAGTCCACAGCCACCTCCTCAAAAGGATCAGACTCCTAGGAAGACAAAAGAAATCTTCCCCATAAGACAGTCCTCTCTAATGTTTTCTTTCTTCGTTCCAAAAGGGAAAAGGGAGCTTTGCCAGAGATCAAATGGACATTTTCTTATAGGACAGGCATAGGCTCTGCTGGGCCACATGGTCTTTAAGGGTGGGAAGCTGCTGTTGGAAACATGGCTGAAATGCATCCAAGTTGTAGACTGGCACTCCTTGGGGACCCCCCACGCCCGGTGTGGAATAATTCACCAAGAAGGTTTTGGGCAGAGGTGTCCCATGGCCTCATCTTCCTGGTTCAGCAAAATACAAATGTGTTAGAAAACAGGAAATACGTACTAACAATTTTTTACCTGGCCTATTTCATTTTATTTGTAAATGACCCTGGAAATATCAAATCACTTGACTGACCATTAAAATTTGTCAGCTTTGAATTAGGGGTTTTTATATGAGAAATTTATCCTTCTGGTAATTTATTTTTAAATGGATATATTGGGCTATTTTCTGAAACCGTTTTTGGTACAATTGGTATTTTTCATTTCATGGCTTTTATTTTTTAACCGCTTTTCCAAAGTCTTTAGAAAAATATTAAGAAAGATTAAAATCTTCTAATATTACCTTTCCTAATACAAGATTCTTGTGAATTCTGCCAGAACAACTTTGAAGGTTGAATAAGTGAGACTCACTGGGTCATTCTGTGGGGACATCAGGTTCAAATTCACACAGACTCAGCATTTGGTTTTCAAAGTAGCTCATGAACGAAAGGGGTTGAAACTTCCCACAAGAAACTCACGCTTACCTGACAAGGTGTCCCCAGTTGGATCCTCCTGAAAAGAATCTCTTCAGAATCATTGGATGGATCTCCTCTTCCCTGGAGCTCTGCTGAGATCCCCCCAATGAATGGATCCTGCAATTGAAAGAAATGGCTTATGATCCACTTTCAAATGACCATTTAACCATTTTAGTTTGCTTGCCTTACATTTCCCCCCTCCAATTGTACTTTTCCAACTGAAGTCAAAATGAGAGAACTTGAGAAGTCCTGCTCTGGGGTTGCCGTTATTTCTGGATAAATGCCTGTCACTGTTGTGAGTTGCTTCTTTTTTATTTCCTATTTTCCTTCTGATAAGGAGATGCTTCTTTATCTTCTCCCCTTTATTTGACGATTTTGGCCTTTCCTTTTTTGTGAATGTATTTATACCTATTCTACGAGGGCTATCCACAAAATAGATTACTGTTTTCATCTGTAGCAAGAAGGGGCGGAGCTAGCGCGGCCATCTTTGGTCTGTGCTTGCGCCGCTCAGTCTGCATCTAGTCGTGCTAGTGGGAGGTTCGTATCATTGCCCGTTATTTCACAGCAAATGTTTGAAATGTGTGCTGCAATTGAAAATCCCACGAGTTGTGAGGTACGATCAGTGATAAGGTTTTTGTTGGCAACAAACCATAAACCGATTGAAATTTCCATCCTCGTAAGAAAAGCAATTCAGAACAAGCGTAGAGGAAAGTTAAGCTCAAAAATTTTGTTTTTGCATGACAATGCCCGACCACACACACAGCAAATCGCACTCGAGGTCCTGAATGCTTTCAAGTGGGAGATTTTTCCTCATCTGCCCTACAGCCCCAATCTTGCACCAGGTGGCTAAATTTTATGACAATGGAATTACAAAGCTTGTTCACCGCTATGATAAGTGCCTCAATTTGTTCGGTGAATATGTTGAAAAGTAGTATTTAAGTGTCACTTTCAAGTGTATATAATAAAAAAAAATTCCTACACTGTTTTTTTTCTATCGCAAAACGTAATCTATTTTGTGGATAGCCCTCGTATCTCATCTTTTTTCTTCTTTAGATTTCAGGCCTTTGTCTCCTGAGAGGGACAGGATCAATCTCCCCTGGGGTGGCTTCTCTATGTCTCTTGCAATGAGGAGACCAGCAACCTGGCATTTCAGGGGAAGATCCTGGAATAAATACCGAGATGGACTTGGGGGTAAAATGCACCCCCTAAAAACACTGTGACTGCCATTAAAAGGCAATTTGGATACTTCATTCTATCTCACCTCCAGTTCCCAATCAGGTTCAACTTATAAGGAGAAATATTTTAAGATAATTTTGGAAATACAGAAAGCAAAAGCTGAACTAGGGAGAATCTCTTGTTGGGACGGAATGTAACCTTTCAGCAGATTTGGCCAATAAACCACTTTTGCAAAATAATCCTGAAGGATATCCAACATGAATGAATGATATACTCTCTATATCAAAGCACTGGGATAATACAGAGTGCAATATTATTCTAAGGTGGACTGAAAGAATGATGTGCCACAAATTGGGAACAGATCAAAGTAGAATTCATGAGTAACAGTAATGAAAATCATGATAGGAACTTCCATAACCAAAAACTACCCAGAGACAGACTGTTTCCTAAACTGCTTTTTGGAATAATATTCTGTGACATGACATGATTAAAAACTGACATATTACAATTCGACATTTTTTGGTCATAAATTGCAAAACATAGGGAATATGGATCACATAGTATGCATATGTTTGTAAAATATGATGTTTAATTTTTTGCTTTCCCTCACTATTGTGGTAGAATAGGGCACATCAAAGCCTATAAAATGTTCGGTTTCATTTGTTACGTACAGCACATGGTAACATATTTTAACGTACATGACTGATTTCTAGGGCAGGGGTCACCAACCTTTTGGACCTCAGGGACCACTAAATTCATAATTTTAAATCCTGCAGACCACTAATGTGATCTGCCTAATGACCGGCTGGATGGTTGTGGCTAGGTGGTTATGTGACTGGGAGGGCGTGGCCAACTCGATGTAACTCATGTTGAGGGGCGCCTCACTGGCTTCTACTCACCCCTCCCCTCCCAGCCACTCCTCACCTGCCTGCCCGGGCTCCTTAGAGGCCCAACAGGATGCAGTTGTTAGAGCTAAAAAGCCACCATGGGAAGAGTTGGCCAAACAGCTGGCTCCGTTCAAATTGGATCTGACTGAGAAGGAGGCTCAGCAGAAGCACCTCATTGAGGACTATAAGCATAGGCTTTCCAAGCAGAGGGAAGACCTGTGGGAATGCAAGGCCAGGTACCAGCACCTGGAAGCTCGGCGGGCTGAGATGGTCAGCCAGTTCCAGGCCATGATGCAGTCCCACTGGAACAAGGCCCTCCGGCTCTTCACCATCA